TGGTTTCGGTTTTTGACACGGTTGGCAGGCTTGGCCGGTAATGGTTCTGGTTTTTCAGGAGAAGAGAATGATTTCTTGAACTGGTCGGAGTTGTTGACATTTAGGACATTTGATTTTGAGAAAGTAAAGGATGGTGATGGTGGCTAGTAATAAGCCCAGAGTGATTCCGAACAGGAGAGTGAGAAGGATGGTGAGCATAGAATTTTGATTACGGGATGAGATTTATTACCTGACTCAGTTTAACCAATCTTGGCGGGAGTTTTAAGCCACTAGACTTTTAAAAAGACTATTAGCACCTAATCAGCACTGAGTCAGTAGGAAGAACGAGAACCTCTTGTTATGGTACTCCTGATTAGGCTCAATTGTGTCCGCAAGGAACATGGATTACTTGCAGTTAGTGATCTAACTTAGATTGGCGTTCTTCGTCAAGTGTCCGAGGGATAGTTAAGCGTTCAATTATTTAAGTATTGGTTGCGAGCTCGGGCGGGGTCACAAGGACAAGTTCCGCCCAATTGAAGCATGGTTTCATGTTGCTGGTCATGAGTGATGGGGTAAGCGTAGAAGGCTTGGGATTCTTCCAAGTCATACTCTTGAGCATAAGTGTCGAGTTTAGCGATAAAAGACCGCACGACCATGGCGTTTTCTGGTAAGAATTGAAAATGTAAAACCGGTTTAGTTTGAAAATGGGTGTAGATTAAGTTATCACAATTACCATTTTCTTTAAAAACCCGTTCTTGCTCTAAGGGTAAATGGAGGAATTCGGCTTTACTACACAAGAGGAGCAGTCTAGTGATTAAGAATTCTTGAAAATCATGCTGCACCGCCGGCTTTTTAGGTTTTTTTGAAAAGGTAAACTTCTTTACGGGTTGCTTTGCTGGCTAAGTTTAGTAAAGATAAAGGATTTAGAGAGCGAGTGCCTAAGCGGTAGTTTTTTTTGATGAGGACTGGTTTAGCACATTTACCAACTAATTTTTCGTGAGTGCGGTAGAAGTAAGTGGTGATTTGGTTTTGGTAGTCATACCGGCGAAAAATAGTTTGTTGATTATTTAGCGGTTGCTGGGTAATTTGGTCGAGTTTGCTTTTACCGATTAATTGAGCCGTTCTTTCCTCATAATCATACAAGTTTAGAAAAAAGCGGTAAGTTTTGTGATTATCTTTTAGTCCATGTTGAGCATAGAGGGAGCGGAGGTGGAAGGATTTGGAGAGATATTTGGCTAAATATTTGGAGATAGTTTTTTTACCGGGCGAACGTGATTCAACTCGGCCATAAGGTCACAATTTGGAGATATAGGCTCGGCAATTTCAACAGGATTTGAAGTCCTTGGTGAGGGTGCATTGATGAGAGTAAGGCACGATGGGAGTGCTTAATAAGTGGAAGTGTCAGACTCCATTTTTTTGGAGTTCGCTAACGACCGTTCATTTTCAGCGATTAGGTTTTCATAAACGGCGAATGCGACGTAAAAAAAGAGCTAAGTAGTAGTTAGCGGGAGCATGTTGACTAACTTCACCAGTTACTTTTTCGATTTTGACTTTCAACGGTTCCGCCGGGGGGTCAAAGTTTTGGGCTCAGTCTTTGAGTCAGTTGTTTTTTTTACTAATTGGCTCTCAAACCGGGTCGTTAGCATCTCAATTAGTGGTAAAGGCGAAGTAGTTGTCGTGTTTAGTGTTAAAAGTGAGAGTTAAGAAAAGGAGTGGTTGCTCGGCTTGGGTGCCTTCGAAATTAGCCTCTACTTTGTCTTTGAAGCGAGTGTAGAGTTTTTTTTCTTTGGAGTTGAAGAAGGAGAAGTAAGTGCAGTTTTGGGCATCGTGGAGACAGTCATCGGGTAATTTGTCCGGTTGGGCTGGCTTAGCAGCGGTAGATTTCTTTTGTCCTAAATAAAAAGATTGAGCGGAATTCTTGGATAAGGTAACTGAGAGGCGGTTAGTGGATTCAATGTGTTTGGTGGAGACTGACAGGACGGAAAAGGAAGTGTGGTCTTGTGCTAAGAATGCTTTTAAGTCTGACTTAGATACTTGCTTGATTTGAGCGAGGTCATTTAATAATTTTTGGGGTGTTTTTGGATAGGTAGAGTTATTTCCATTAAAAAAAAAAAAATATATATTCTCTCTCCGCAGAGAAAAAATATAAAAAAATATATATAAAAGGAAATGAATAAAAAGCAAAAAATACAAGTAATTAAAGACGGAACTAATAACCATACCAACCAGAAAATTAACGGAAATTATAATAGCGAATTTAGCAGAAGAACCATTCAAAATGGCAATCGACGTTGACCATTGACTACTTCAATAAGAGTAGAGAGAGAGAGAGAGAGAGAGCAAAAAGACCAGGAATTCACTCCGAGCCGGCGGGACTGAAAGAACGAAGAAAACAAACTGCCTACCAAACGGACATAGCCGAGAAGTCCGGGATGTCCCTCCCACCACACGGATTATTTAAATTAGAATTACAATTTTTTGCTTTCGAAAAGGGGAAAGAAGTCGAAAAAATATCCGATGAACCAGCAAAAATTCCGGAAAGACGGCTGAGTGTTCATGAAAGATTATATTTACAACCCACCTATTCTAGTGCAAATAGAAGTAAAATAGCAAAAAGTAGTGCCAGCCAAAGAAAGAGATCGGGAATTTTTCATTCTCGTGATAGTGTTAAAGCCAGAGAAGTTATAAAAACAGTCTACAAAAATAGTTCAAAGAAGTTAAAGACAGAGAAAGAAGATTTAGAAAAAGAACTAAAAAAAGCGACAGAATACGGAACGATACTTGTTAATGAAAATGTGTCATTGAAAGGAGAAAAAAACCGACTGGAAAATGATAATAAAAATTTTACAGATGAAATTATTCAACTTAGGGAATTAATTAATAATTTAAATGAAGCCTTGGCGGAAAAAGATAATACAATAGATAATTTAAACCGAGAAAAGGGGCGTTTGGAATTCGAATTAGAGAGAACAAGACAAAAAAGGGATGGTTTAAAAAATTTTGAAGAGGGCGAAAAAAAGGAGTTAAATTCAAAAATAGAACAGTTGGAAACAGAAATAGAAGGAGACAGAAAAATATTAGAAGAAACCAGCAACAAATTAGCCAAAATTGAGGAGGATAATAGAGAGTTAAAAAAGGAAAATCAAAAATTACGAGGAACTCCATCCAGTTCCGCCCGGATTAATTTGGAAGTGGATAATATTAATGATGAATTAGCCGAAATTTATAAAGTAATTATTGATAACCATTATGGGGGTGATATTAAGACTGCTGCCGCCACCCCGCCGGAACTAGAACTTATTTACAAAATAAGTGGAGATAATTTAAATAAAATTAAAAATGCTTTTTTAGTCGAGGAAAGTTTGGATGAAATTACCGAAGAATGAAGAAGCAAATTTGACAGACTGCGGGAAACATTAAGGGAAGCATTAAAAAATGAAAAAGAAAATAACCGAACCCTAACTAACCAAGTTAACAACCTCACCCTGGAAAAGGCTGATTTAGAACAGCGACTTGCTTCTGCTTCTGCTTCTGCTTCTGCTTCGACTGCTATTCAACAATTACAAAGTGAGAAATTGGATTTACAAACCAAAAACCATGATTTACAAAACCAGTTAGCCGAATTACATAACCTTTTAGCGGCCAAAACCCCGGAAGAAAAAACCGAACTGATTGCCAATTTACAGAAATTACCGAACCTCCTCAGCGAAATTGAGGTTTTAAAAGAGAACTACCGACTTTTAGAAGCCGAATTAGCCAGCAAGGAGGAGGAAGAAATGAGTTTTGTGGGATTAACCCGGGTTCGGTCAGCAAGTTTTTCGGAAACCGATGGCGGTCCTCCTAAATATATTTCCAGAAAGCAATTATGAGAAGAAATGAAGCAAAAAGAGACCAAGATTGAAGAATTAGAAAACGAGAACGAAGAATTATCCGCGAAGTTAGAGGAAACAAAAACTCACCTATTAAATGAAAAATCTTTGGTCGAGGAGAGCGAAATCCTTAAAACCAAAGATTTACCGGAAAGTGAAGCCGAAGAAGAGGGGGAGCCGGAGAACCCAGTTTCTTCTCCGATTATTAATCCTCAGCAATTAGAGAATGAGACAGAAAAGCCAATAGAAATTCCTGAGGGTTTCGTTGCTATGATTATTGCTGAAATTAATAATTATTGGGATAGTTTTAACTTTCCCTCCGAACTGAATAAAAATGAGATTCTGAGTGCTGGTTTAGAGACTACTTGAGAAATTAATCTGAATAATCTTTATAATCAAGTCGTCCCGGAGGAAGAGAAAGAGGAAAAAGCAGAAGAATTAGAATCCACAGAATCCGGGGTCAGTCTTATCGAATACTATACCGCCTGAGCCGCCAAACATCACCTAAAAAAAAGTAGGGAGTTTGGTCGAAAATTAGTTCAAAAAGAAGAAACTCGGCTGAGGAATTTAATCAAGGAGGAAGCCAAAAAACTTAAAAATAATTCGTCAAAAGGACCAGAAACACGGGAAGTAGATGAATTTATTAAGCAGGTAGTAGCGGCGGTCAAAGAAACTACCGAACAACTTAATCGGAAAGTTGCCAAACCTAAATTAAAAGTTAATTCTCCGCTTTCACGAAAACCAAAAAAACAATGCTCATTTATTATCGAACGCCGTTCTAGCGAACACAGCAGTGATTTTGCCAGCGACAATCCCACCCCGGACTCGGCCGTGGTAAAGGAAGAATACTTTTATACGCCGACTTCCATTGATTACGAGAAATTAGCCATGAAAGCAACCCAACTCGAATTAGAAAACTCTCGATTAAAGACCAATTTAGAGCAAGTCCGCGAGGACAACGCTGCTTTAACGAAGGAGAAAAATGATTTAAACCATACGAACACGGAGTTAAAAAATAATTTGGCGGAACTTTCTGCCAAAATAAGCGGGTTGGAGAAGGAGATTAAGGAGTTAAATAAGGATAAAGAGAAATTAATGGCTAATGATGATGAGGAAATTTTGGCGTGGCAAGAAAAATTAAAGGAGCACGAAACCATGATGGCCACGCAGCAAGAAACAATCACCAGCCAAGCGGCAGAATTAAAAAAAATGGAAGAAGAGAATGAAGCCCTAAATTGCTTGCTAGTATTCGAGGAAAATGAATATGAAAGGTTAAAAAAAAGAAAAACCAAACTTAAAAGTAAAGTTAAGGAATTAGAGAATAAAATCACGGGATTAAAAGAAAATAATTGAAAATTGAAAGAATTGGTCGAGGAAAACCAGAGAAAATTAGAAAAATTAGAAAAATTAGAAAAATTAGAAAAAGAACTCAGAATGGTTCGCCAGGAGAAAGAATTATGACAATGAGAGTTGAACCGAGCCAAAACAGTTCAAGCAAATAAAGAAAATGATTTAAACCATAAAATAAATGATTTAGAGGTCAAAATTGAAAAAATAAACGAAGAATGAAAAGAGAGAATTAACAAACTAAAAAATGAAGCGGCCGATAAATTAAAATCCACCCAAAGGGAAAAAAATAATTATTGAAATTCATTAGTTAAAATAATTCTTTTAAGTAAGGGGCAAACTAAAAAAATTAAAGAGTTAGACCTAAAGGTGGCTGATTTAGAAAACGAAAAAGAAGAGGCTTGGAAAAAGGTTAATGAGTTGCAAGCCGATTATATCGCTAAATCAGAAGAAAAAATTATTAACCCAAGGGAACAGTATGAATGAGAAATCAATGAACTATTGACTAAAATTAAGCAAAATGATGAAAAAAGCAAAAACAACGCTCAAAACATACAAAATAAAGACGAAGAAGAATTAGAAATATCCAAAAATATTTGAAAAGAAAAGCACCAAGAAATTAAAAAACTCAAAACACAACTAA